ACTAAAAATATACTAAATACTAATAATACTAAAAATATACTAAGTACTAATAATACTAAAAATATACTAAGTACAAATAATAATAAAAATATACTAAGTACTACTACATGTGCAGTTTTACATTTAAGGCTGCAAATCTTTTTATTTTTTGATGCTTTAATGATTTTAAATTCTCCACAAAGTTCTCCTTCAAAGAGAGCCTTTATTATAAAAACATTTATGCTTCTTATATTTGCAAACAAACCTGCTTGTGTGAAACATTACGTCCTTTATAAACTATTTGTTTTAGTTTTATAACCACAAGTTTTATTTTACACGTTTTCGTTCTAGCTCAGGCCTGTGAGCTCGTTTTAACATCTCAGCTCTGTCCTACGTGAACGAGCCCAAAGCTTCTGTCGGTGATAAAAACACTAATTTCAGTTCCTTACACACAAAAATACAAACTGCAATAATTAAACATTTATAATAAACTACAGAGAATCTGTGCAAAACACAACTTTAACTTTTAGTGACTCCGTTTGCACATTTCTTATGAAACACACAAAAACCCGGTTAATTTTTCTTCTACTGAAGTTCTGATGAAAAGTTCTATTTAAATAACGTTTATACTCGAATATTAATGTTGGTTTATTCCGTTGCTGTTTTTGTGTCTGGCAGCTTGTAATGACATGGACCGCTGGCCGACGCCTCATCCGGGACGGATCCTCACTCTGCCTATAATGGGCGTCGTCATCAAGGTACAAATACTCAATGAATGCAAACCGAGTACTGCAGTACTGTCATTGTGACTGTATACTGAGTGACAAAAACTTTTTCAAAATAAAACTATCAACCCGGGCCTTTTTTAACGAGCAGCACCGCAGACCCAGTCAGTGTTTTAGTTTATTTTAAATGCGCTGCAGGTTCGGATCCCGACCAGTTACGACAAACCAGGAACCTCCCAGCTGGTCCAGTCTGCTCAGGTAGAGCCTTAGCAGCAGTTATTGTCATATTTGGTGTATTTCTGTCACCTGGGAGTATTTATTTACTGTAATCTAACAGCTGATGTGTATTTGCTGTTCAGAGTGACAGTTCGGTGTCCATCGTGCTCCAAACCATCCACGAAGTCGACCTGTTCAGGTGAGGCGTGAAGCTTTTTGGTTCGCCCTCGTTGTGTCTCCACCTGCGCTTCGGTCTGCAGGTTTTGTTCAAACTGATTCCAGGTCAGAAAAACGGGCTTCAGCCAACGCTTGGACTGAAACAGTGACTGGATAATAATAAATGTGTTTAAAATAAACTCAGAAATGTTTAATTAAAATATTGTAGGTTCAAGTTATAAAGAAACCTGTTGACGTTTAGGCTTATCTGCCTTTTTAACCCCGTAGTAAAAAAATATATATATTTTAATCTAGAGCGGTGGTTCCCAACCGTGGTCCCTGAGGAACACCATCCTGCATGTTTTAGTTGCTTCTCTGCTCCAGCATACCTGATTCAGTGACTTAATTACTTCCTCGTGTTCTGCAGAAGTTAATCGCCCATTCATCAGGGAAACGACTAAAACATGCAGGACGGTGTCCCTCAAGGGCCAGTGTTGGGAACCATTGATTTAGATGCAACAGCGCTGAATGACGGCTGGAATTTGCTGAAGAAGCTGAAATATAGTGCTGACAGCTAAAGCCACAATTTGTAAAAGGTTAGAAGTTAAAAGTTTCAAAAGGCTAGCTTGGAGAGAAAAGTAGCATAAAAATACTAAAACAGCGAACAATTATTTTAAAGGCCTAAAAAAGATTTTGGTGTTTTTATGGAGAAAATGTTAAAGTAAAGTCTTTGTAGTTATAAAAACTTAAAGTCACAGCAACGTCCTCCTGAAGGAGCTGCATGAACGGCTAAACGGGAACAAATTACAGACGTACCGTTAGTCGGATTGTAAAGTACATAAAACAAAAACAGGAAAACAACGCGCTGACTCATCAGTGACTTTATCTAAAAAACATCTTCCAAAGTCTGAGTCGTGTTTTGAAGCTCACGCAGGCTCTCTCCGTCCAGGTGTTTCCACCCGGTTTACTTCCACGTCCAGATGCTTTGGGAGTTGGTGCTGTTGGGGGAGGCGCTTGTCGTCATGGCGCCGTCACCTGCGGAGTCGTCTGAAACCGTGCTGGCGTTGGTCAGGTGAGTCCGGCGGTCGGAAGCGGCTCGCTGAGCCAGAACCTGCGGACACGGAGCGGTTTGTTAAACCTGCAGTTCACAGCTGGACGTGTCGCTGCACATCTGCAGTTGTGACATAAAAACACACGAGGTTATACAGTTTCAGTGTGTTCGTAATGTTCTGGTTGATTTTCCTGCTGGCCTCTAGGAGTTGACGTTAATTCATACCTGGGCTTTTGCAGCTGCATTTCTCCTCTGCGTTACTGCTGCGACTTCAGGCCGTACTTCACCATCCACGACAGCGAGTTTAAGGAGTACACGACCAGAACGCAGGCGCCGTGAGTACAAATGAGCCACACAGCCGGTAGCCAGCAAACACGCGCTTCACGTCGGGGTCGACACGAGACGACGCTGCAGAGGAGAGCTCCGGTTACACACGTGGACGCTCTGATCCGAGGATGTAAAAATATGAAAACACTAAGTGAAAGACAAATTTATATATATTTTTTTAAAGAAAACGCAAAATCTTTGGACTCGTTTTTTCTGTCCTTGCTTTATAAAATAAACGTGTTGTAAATTAAATTCTTGTTGTCTGCTGATCCGCAGGCCGTCGGTCATTCTGGGAGTAACCAACCCGTTCTTCGCTAAAACTCTGCAGCACTGGCCGCACATCATCCGCATCGGAGACATGAAGCAAGCAGGTAAACGGCACTGACTCCGCCCACTAACCAAAAAAAGTTTTATTTTTGATTTTAAGCTCAACTCTGGCACAAACTGCCGTCTCAGCATCGACCTGGGAGAGATGCCAAGTGACTAAACGACATCCAAACAGTCCATTGGAGCTCAGTCCTCATAAATAAAACCGTTGGTGACGGCGCTTCCCAAAAGTTTCTGCTTTTACGTTTGAGACTTGTGACCTGGTGAAGTTTATGAACGATGATAATAATCCATCTGACAAACTGTAACGTCAATCGTTATATAAGTTTTTATACGTGCTCATATTTTTTATTTTTTCCTTGAAGCAGTTGAGGCCGAATGATGTTTGTCATCACTTCGAAGTTCATTTGGATTCTGTAGATCTCAAGACGCCACGCTTGGTGTTGGATCCCAACCCCAACTTGGAGAACCTCTGGTTTATGAAACCCCTTCAGAAATTAAACTTGTATAAAATGTTTGTTCCTCTCAGCAGAGATGACCAAGCAGATGAAGGTCAAGAAACTGAAAAACCTCAAAACTCTGGACTCTAAACCTGGTAAATATTTGTTGTTGTTGGATTATTTCTGTTCTGCCTTAAGGTTTTTGTTTGGGTTAGACAACAGAAGAACCCGTGTCAGCCTCTACAGTTACTCCTACATGTTTGTTACAGGCGTGTACACTGCTTACAAGCCATATCTCAACAAAGATGAAGAAATCATCAAACAGCTCCAGAAGGTAAGACTGGGTCTCCTCCAAATGTGTCTTTAACTTTGTCCCTCCTCAAGGTCAAACTTTGTGAATGATGTCATGCACAAGCTCAACATGTGTTGTGAACAACTCTCAGCTACTACCACACCCAGTTTTATCTTACAGTACTTGCCGCTGTAAATGTTGCACCGCCCTATAAGTCGCATCAGTCCAAAAATGTCTAATAAAGTGGGAAAAACATAAAACACGTCGCTTCACCGTATGAGTCGCGTCTATTACGCGTCACCGCTGACAACCTGGAAACATGGGCCGGTGTTGTGCCAACAATCGACTGGCTGCCAAATGGCAGCAGCAAGAGCATGCACGGGAGGACTTTAACAAGAATTTAACAAGATTAACACTTAAAAACAATTATTTGTTTGCTTGAAATTATAGTAAAGGTGTGTCTCAGTTTAACTTTTCCTTAATAAATACACTTTAATGGTCAAATCAGCTGCATTTCATCTGGGCAACGCGATGAGTTGCAGATGAAAGTGGCTCTGTATGGCAAGCCAAGTGTCTCATTAATAGCCACATTTACCCATTAATGAAACACTTGGCTTGCCATATTTGTAGAGGACCCTCTAGTGGCTGAAAATGGTAGTGTTCAATATTTTCCATGTCAGAATGAATGAAATTGTCCGATCTCAGCCAAAAATTGTTTTATAGATATGGAGAAAAAAAAAACATAAAAACGTTGCTTCGCTGTATAAGTCGCAGGCACGCTAATTCATGCAACAACAAAAAATAAATAAAAAGCGACTTATGCAGCGAAAAATGCGGTAATATCTGCAACAATGACCCGGTTAAAACCATTTTTGTGTTTGCCAAGATCAGTGGTCTGTGGCGGCCATCTTGAATTAGATTGATGCCTAAAGGCAGTCCGTTGTCAACGCACATCAAATGATGATAAAACCCGTTAACTGGTAATGAGATATTTTGCTAACAGACAAACACACAGGCAGTAAGTGAAGCAGGTCGTATTAAGACACGTCTCAGCAGAAGTCTCTCCACCTCTGTCTGTCTTTATAACTGTACAAATAAAATGTTGCTTCAGTTCTTGAATTTTCAACACTCAGGAACGATCGGGTGTAAAAAGACTCTGTACCTGGACGGTCCTGGATTATTCTCCTCGAATCGTCGGTGATGCTTGGTTCTAAACGGCTCCTCATGTTTCTCCGTTTTTCAGGGGGTTCAACAGAAGAGACCCTCAGCGGCCCAGAATGCAATTCTTCGACGCTACTTCTTAGAGCTGACTCAGAGCTTCATCATTCCTCTGGTAACGACTCGTCGTTTGCTTTTAATAAAAGCTCAGACCCTGAAAATATATTTTTGTTTTTAAACTGAAACCTTTTGTTGTTACTCAGTAAACTTTACTTGCAGCTCTGACGAGAACTTTTCTCCAGACAAAGTGAGTCCTCTGTTTTCTGCAGGAGCGATACGTTGTCAGTCTCATGCCGCTTCAGAAGTCCATCAGTCCCTGGAAGAGCCCCCCCCAGATCCGACCTTTCAGCCAGCAGGACTTCATGAAGACGTTGGAGAAGGCAGGACCTCAGCTCACGTCCAGGCTTAAAGGAGACTGGATTGGACTCTACAGGTACGGACGGTTCAGCCAGAACTGAGACGAACGCTCGTGTTTCTAAACTCAGACGTGTTTTATACGTTGTTGGATTGTAAGATCGGACTGAAACCGGCGCCGCGTTGGCTCCTGTTTGGGTTTCAGGCATTTTCTGAAGTCTCCCAACTTTGACGGCTGGTTCCGCAGCAGAAGACGAGAGATGACTCAGAAACTGGAGGCTCTGCACCTCGAGGCTCTGTGTGAGGAGGTGAGGAGGAGGAGGAGGGTGAAGATCAGACAGTAATCTTCATTTAAACTATTTCAAACAACTTCCAGGTGCCTAATTACCACTTTTAGCTCTCCTGCAGAGGAACTAAAGAAATAATCTTAACATCTTGTGACACTTTCTGTTCAACAAATGGGACTTCTTTAGTCCTGGTCCCGGACCATTCACACAGGGATATTTTATTTACTTAACTCTGAGTCATTCAGGCGTGAGAAAGCTCCTAAACTCAGCAGGTGAACGACGTGTTGTGTCGACACCGAACACAAAACTTCTCAGAGAGCAAGTTTCAGACGTTCACAAGAACACGACGTTTCAAATTCTTCAGGGGAATTAAAATTAAAATAGAAAGAAAAAAAACACCAAAAATAACAGTTTGACAGAAAATGTAATTTAGATCTAATAAGGTCATTCCCAATGAGTTATTAGCTCAAACAAAGACAAACATTGAAACTGCTTCCTTTAAAGGGATTTAAATATTTGTTCCAAGTTATGATTTAAATAAAAGTCTCGGCATGTGTTCATGCACGTGGTTTTCCTTTAGGCCTCGTTCACCCGTTGAGGCTGCTTCTAGTCTTTTAATTGCTGTTTAACAAATACGTGATCAAATGTTTGTAGAAGATGAGCCGACAGGCTGCAGTAACTCTGACAGGACTGCGTGTGGCGCTGCAGGTACAGGTGAGAGCAGAAACTGAATCCTTGGATGAACCCAACGTTAAACTGCGGCTGACAGGAAGTCAGAGCCACGTGAGCAGCTTCAGACAGAGGGAGGAGTTTCATCAGCTTTTTAATGATGAAAACTTCGGTTGTTCTCAGATTATTTGATGTGAACATGAGGTTTAATGGGAGGTGGCTGCCTTCAGGCTCTCCACACAGAAACACAACTGTGGCGTTCAGGAGCTCCTGAACTTTGTGTTTGGCAGCGAGGCTGGAGCGATGAAAACCTTCGAGTGCTCCTGAAGCGCTGCCCCCGCGTTGGAGCGTTCTGAGTTCAAGTTCAAGGAGGGAAACCTAAAGTGTGCGTCGGCGTTTCACTCCTGTCTCTTCTCCTGCAGGATCTTCAGCAGAGGATCCAGAGGCACACGGAGGTGGAGGCAGTGGACCTGGTTCTGAAGCTGAAGGACAAGCTGGTCGGTACCAACCCCTCTGTCTTCACGGAGCTGCTGCCGGTACGTGCAGCTGCTCGTTAAGCTCGTTTTGTGTGTCGCTGCAGAGTCAGGCGGAGAGGGAGCAGCTGCCGGTCTGTCCGGGGACCCTGACCAAACTGAGGGCCCACATCGAGGCCGTCATCCTGGCCTTACCAGAGGACCTGCAGGGAATCCTCCACAAGCCCCCCACGCCGTGACCTTTGACCCCCTGCGGTCTGCTACGCTAACCCGAGCTTGAACTTCTTTAGGAGGTACCGCGTCCTCTGGGCTCGGTTTGAGGTTTTATCAGGAGCTTCGGTGGTTTTTACTGTAGCGGCTCCATGGGGGTCAGACTGGACCCCGACGTCTCCGGGATCACGCAGTCCTGAAGAGAACAGCTGGAACGGGCCGGACCTGTCAGCCCACGTCTTCTGGAACACTTTTAGGAAACTAAAGGAGCACTGGACCGGTTTTAACCCGTCGTGTCGTCCCGCTTAAAACCTGTCGGGGGCGGGAGGGGACCTGTGAGGCCAGGAAAATACCTGGATGACCTTTGACCCTCAATGATTTAAACTTTTTAACACCTTGCTCTTATTTTTTTTAACCTGCTACTCAGAGTTTTCATTAGTTTTAAAGATTTTTTATTTTTTTTAAACAAGTGCACTTCATCACTACCAGGCCCAGTATGCAAACAAATGGACTGGATCAGAACCAAGCAGAGCATTTTAATAATCTTTATTATTATATTATCCACATGCAGATCATTATAATAATCTTTATTATTATATTCTCTGCATGCAGAGCGTTATAATAATCTTTATTATTATATTCTCTGCATGCAGAGCATTTTAATAATCTTTATTATTAT